CCCCAAAACCCCAAAACCCCAAAACCCCAAAACCCCTATTAATTCATTTATATTGAAATCTATGAAAGACTTGACACTTACATATACAAGGACTCGAGATCAACCAATGGATTCTTAATGTGGCTCCAAAGTAATTGGTTTTTATACCTTTTTTCAGCAAAGAATTTCATATATTTCTTGAAATTCTTTTTCACAGGAAAGATCAGTTCAAAATTTTGAACTCTTCTAATTTGTTCCTCATAATCCATAATTAAGTTGAAGTCCTCTTCATCTAGTTCTCCTGATGAGAGGTCTTCGATTTGTTTAGATCAGTTTTTCTTTTCTTCGGAACTATGGCCTAAAACTTTGCTACGAAGCTTCTTCTTCTGCTCATTTTCATACTTTTCATGGTTGGCTGGTTTAAGTCCTACTATTGTTAGAATGTCTCAAATTAGCTTGGTCTTTAAAGTTTTGTCAAATGGTGACGAAGATGAAAAAGATGGACTAATATTCACTTCAAGTATCCAGGGTTTTAGATTAGAATCGATAATGATATCAAACCCATAGAGCTCATAGCATAAGTTTGTTGTCATTCCTGACTCTTCGATTCCATCCACAATGGGGGGTTCGACTGCAATGATCATTTTAATTATCAAGTCTTTCATCCTTCTTTTGACGCTTTTGTAATCTTTTCCATGATCTTCAAATACTTTCTGGAGTGTTTTGAGACTCCACTTTCCTGCTCTTAGATTATTTGCAGATCTGTTCTTATTTTGAGTATATCCATCTGCATTTTTCTGAACGCTGTAATTAGTAAGATGTACAAATCTGTTTTCAAACTCGTCTTCATCTAGTGTATATTTTTCTGTAGCAAATCTTGCAAGTCCATCATCATACAAGTAGATAATCAAAGGATCATAGCTAACTACAAGGACATATACTCTTAGATCATATTTTCGTCCTTCAATAAGATGTGGATTAGCAATATATTCACTGATGACAAATCCCCTTTTGTGCTTGCCAATCGGATCATCTCTGCCTACAATCTTGATCCCCTTTCCACAACTAGAAGCACTTGGCTTGAAGATCCATAATTTTAGATCTTCTTCAGGATCGTAGTCTGGGTCATTTCTATCATCTTCAAATTCTTCTTCATCTTCTGGGAAGATATAAGTTTTGGGGCAGAAGTCATATTCTACAGGATATTTTTGTGCAACCTGTAAGTAGTTCCTCCACATAGCGTCCTTCCTTCCAAGATTAAAACTCTTAGGGAAGTGGTTAATCTTTTGATATTCTTTGAGTGTTTTTAGTATGTCGTCTTTAATTGATCCTGAGAAAAGTAGGTTAAAGTTATTTTGATTCGGGTCCTCTTCTTCATCAGAGGAGTCAGAATCAGTTAAGCCTTGGGTGATTCGTTTCTTTTTAAGCATTTGTTTTTCACCAACAAGATACATTCCTGCAGCTTTACTTGCATTAACCATTGCATTGTAAATATTTGTATTTTCACTGATTTTGAATCTCATTGTAAGGGGACCTAGGTCTTCTTGAGGTTTATAGAAAACTCTATCAAATTCATCCTTCTTTTCTCCTACATAGCTTGGATAAGGGAAAAATAGGAGAGGAGACCTATTTTTGAATGGAGACTTGATGAAAGCTAAGTATTGAGAAACTGGTTTTCTAACACTCATTGGTATTTTTCTTGTTTTCTGTCTCCTTCTTGAAACATCTATAGCTGCTCCTGCTGCATTCAAATGATGAGTATTATCATCTACTTTATTCTCAAAGAAAGCTCCTGCTACTTCTGTTTGCTCCTCTTTTCCTATTTTTCTTCTATAAAAGTTAGGAAAGTTCATTAAAAGACTTAAGATTCTATTAAGCTGGAATCTTAATCAACATCTAATCAAATTTCTAATTTGAACCTACTTGTTTTTACTAAGTTCTGCATCATCCTTTGATTGGCTGGAACTCGAGTGACTATTTCCTCTATCCTTTGTTGATCCCATTGAAGAATTATAAGAATGAGAATCTTTATTCTTTTCATGATACTTTGGGTACTCTTTGAACCCATCTGAACCACTTGTATATCTTGCCTTAGGCATCTCTCCAGATTCTATTTCTTGATCTATATTTAAAATTGATTCTGCCAAGATGAATGAAAACACCTTTCTAATCTAAAAGTTTGCATGCCAGTATTTATAGACAATTGGGACAAAAGAATCAATAAAATCATCAATAAAGAGTGCTAAAAAGTATTCTAAATATCAAAAGAAGCTCTCTATTTAGTTCCTGTTATATTTTGTAAATTTTGAGGGGGAGTGGTCCTTCAATCTTACCATTCCCTGTTAAGTAAATGAACCTAAAAATTAAAAATTAAAACTCTTAAACAAGTTAGACTTAATACTCTTTCTGCTAAAGTCTTAAATAAAGACTTTCACCGAAGTGATATATCTTATTATAGTGAAATTTTAGTGATTGGCAATTACAAGGATTTAAACTTTCTAAAAGTTGAAGGAATATCACATCTGAGTTCAGAAATGATAAGAATAGAGAAAAAAGTCTTTAGTCTCTAGATCAAATTATGACTACTTTCCCACACTCTTGTGGGTAAACAAAAGATAAATTAAATCAGATAGTTCCAGAATTAACAAACCAATTTCAACTATGAACGCCGTTTCTTCACTTAAGAGAATGTATTTGGAAAAGATAGCTTAATTCTTTCGGTATTTTATCAAGTATTTTGTTTGCTTCTGTTATTTTCTCTCAAGATTTTGAAAATATATCAAATAATGTACAGATATTAAACTTTTGTGTAGAATACGACATCCAAGTTGTCTAGAAATAGATGTTAAGGGCAGTTTATATCGGTTTTAACAAGATAAGTTTAACTTAACTGGATTTTAAACTAATCATTATTTGTTAGACCATTATATTTTGATTTGCTCGAAAAATTTTGAATACAATCCAAAATTAATATCTCATTAAAAATTCTTCTTTTGGAAAATGTTTATTTCCTCATTAATACAAAACTAATTAATTTTGCCAAAAGATCAACATTCAGATCGGCTTAACTGACTATAAGATAAACAAGTTTGCTTGTCTCCTATTTATCTTCCAAAAAGCAAAGAAATTTTTACGAATAAAATTGTTTTCTATTAATTAAGCTGATACATAACTCACCAGGCTGAAACTAGCCACTTTTTGAATTATGTATATGCTCCAATTTTAAGAATTAAAAACATTATTCCTTCCAACAAAGTAAGTATTGCAGATATTCCTGCTACTTTCCTTTGGTTAACAGGTATGCTAAACCCTCTTTCTAAGTATGTGGTTTAACCGATGTAAATAATCTCTCAGATTTTAAAATCCGACATTAAATCTATTCAAAATGCAGGTTTTAAAATTTATATTTTGTTTGGCTAGATACTGTAAATGTCTACAACAGTAATTTATCTTACCTTGATAGATTGGGATACTAAGTACTCAAGGAGATAGAAGTCGAGATTAGCCAAATGAATAGGGTCCCACAAAGCTGATTTTGAGTGAAATTATGTAAAGAAAACAGAAAAGGCATGAGTGCTTATGAGAAAGCTTTGCTTTATTGTGAGCTGGGTTCAGATTTTAGTCTTATAAATTAAGTGAATCTGAGCTTAAGGCTGGATTCTTCTTATATACTGGATTTTTAAACCAACAAGCTCTCTTTACTTATAAAGTAACATTCAAATTTGCATTTATGGTTCCTCTCAGATAGGATTCCTGCATATATAGTCTCCTAGCTTTGATATAAAAACTGGAGGATAATTGAGATATTTTGGGACCTCATATAAATTTTATTTGACCTAAGAGTTTGAAGAACTTAATAATTCTTCATATTGCTTTTATCTCATCATTCAACAAAGATGTTGGAAAATGGAAAAGTATCTTAACTAATTTGTAATGTTCTTCACACCTTTAACTGCTCTTGCCTTGCCTTTAAAGAGTCTATAATCAGGATTCTTGCCTGTTTTTAGCATTTCTGTCTCTAAAGTTTCAGGGTAATCTAAAGGATCGATAATAGCCTTGTATTCTCCCTTCTTTTCTTCCATGTTGCACTAAAGTATTTATTTATATTAATTTTAATTTTCAAAACCTCACTAAATATTCGGGGTTTTGGGGTTTTGGGGTTTTGGGGTTTTGGGG